AAAGAGAGGAAAAATATGATCAAATATGCCATTTAACGTCAAATAACTTTACATAGAGGATAGAGGTTTATAGATTTTGTTTGTTTTATAGTTTTTAGATTTTTTCACAAAATCTGTGATTCCTGTCTGCTGTCTGTTAACAAAAGCAGAAATCATCTGCTCATGTTTGCATTTTCTCCTGTTTTTGGATCATAATTCTAACTTTGAAATCAGGATCAGGAATTAAATAATGTCACGCGTGTGAAGATAGGCTGAGAATCGGTCAAACAGTGTTAATCTGACTCGGATTCAGACAGGAATCGTGTGTTTTTCCACTGATTAAGGCAGAATGCAAGACTTCTGCTTCTCACAAATGGCTGTCAAAAGCAAAGATGCTACAAAATGAATCATATTTTGTGAGAAAGTGTGGCGTGAAAGAGCAAAACACACTATTTTTGAAATCAGTGCTCCAAAATTAATATGAAGCAAGCATTTCATTCAACAAATGTGCTGCAGGACGCTGTGATCAGTTACAGAAAATATTATCCATGTAAACCTCTGAATCTGACTAGTTTCTCAGAAGAATCCTGTGCGCATGCACAGCTTATTATTTACAGTATTTATTTATGTCTAAAAAAGCTTTTCTGAAATTGAGTTAGTTGCTTTTATTGTCCTCAAGTGGAAATTTGTCTTTGGCTACAGCATAAACATTTGCATTATACTTTACTCTAAATTATAAAGCGGAGAGTTCCGGTGCTTGATTCTGATTGGCTGAGCCGCGTTCGAAGCTGTTGTAAATGACTCTACAAAGTAACATACACCTTTGTTTACGTTTGTGTGTTGCTCGGCAACCACTTTGTAGCAACCACAACTGTTTCTGAGGAGCTACATTGTTTGGTGGAAGAATACTGTTTTTATTAATATCATTACACTTTATTTGCTCTGTTTTATTTTGTGAAACCTTACTACGTATATGGAGTAACCGTTTTATAAAAGCAATAAGCCCCGTGAAGCCGTGGTTTACAGTGAATTTATAACAGCTTCACGTCGTACCTAACAACACCCCTTAGCTGTTATAAACTCACTGTAAATCACGGCTTCACAGGGCTTATGGCTTTATTAGATATTAGGGTAACTGGCTCAGATTGATAGGGTTTGATCATGTAAACACACCTCGTGTGTGAGCGTCAGATTCTGATGTGTGTTTGTGGATCAGGACGAGGCCAATAAGAATGGAGGGAAGTGGATCATCCGGCTGAGGAAGGGTCTGGCGTCTCGTTTCTGGGAGAACATCATCCTGGCCATGCTGGGTGAGCAGTTCATGGTGGGCGAGGAGATCTGCGGGGTCGTGGTGTCCATCCGCTTCCAGGTGCGGATCAGAAACCATCATCCTGTCACGAGTTACTGTGTGTGTGAGTCTGACACGAGTGTGTGTCCGCAGGAGGATATTCTGTCCATCTGGAATAAAACAGCCAGTGACCAGGTGACCACGTCACGGATACGGGACACGCTGCGGCGCGTGCTCAACCTGCCACCAAACACCATCATGGAGTACAAGACACACAACGACAGTCTCAAGTACGTTTGATTCCTCTCACAGACTCTCAGTTCTGATCTCAGTGCGTATGGATTCAGTTCAGCTCTTCTGAACTTCTCAACTATACAGGGAACCCACCACTGAATAAGTCACCATCATCTCTTGATACATTACTGTAATATTAAAGCTTAAAATTAACAACTATTAAATTCAACTGCTCTGTTTTCAGATATAATAATCAACACTCAGATATCAGCCTTCTAATGTTATAACTATGTTCCTACTTATTTTATTCCAATATACATTAGTTACGACAAGTGAAAATATCATGAATAGATAATATAGAGCAAATATTTATCAGAATGTCTCGGAAGTTATTTTTTCTTGCTTACTAACGTGTTTTGAACATTGAGTGACTTGGTTGAGGTTTACTGTACATGTTCAAGCTGTTTTGTTGACAGAATGGGTTTAAGTAATGTTTAGTGAAGTTTCATTTAAACAGATCTGGAGCGTAATAAAACATTTAATTACGTACTTTTTTTTCAAAGTAAGGTTTTTCAAATTATATGTATCAGCTTTAATGAACTTATGAAAATAGCAAAAGCAATCAAATGTCAAAAGTTTTGTTTTTAATGACAAAATGAAGTCTTCAAAATGTATAATTTAACTTGTATTCTGCAAAAGAGAGGAAAAATATGATCAAATATGCCATTTAACGTCAAATAACTTTACATAGAGGTTTATAGATAATAGATTTTGTTTGTTTTATAGTTTTTAGATTTTTTCACAAAATCTGTGATTCCTGTCTGTTTGTATGCAACAAAAGCAGAAATCATCTGCTCATGTTTGCATTTTCTCCTGTTTTTGGATCATAATTCTAACTTTGAAATCAGGATCAGGAATTAAATAATGTCACGCGTGTGAAGATAGGCTGAGAATCGGTCAAACAGTGTTAATCTGACTCGGATTCAGACAGGAATCGTGTGTTTTTCCACTGATTAAGGCAGAATGCAAGACTTCTGCTTCTCACAAATGGCTGTCAAAAGCAAAGATGCTACAAAATGAATCATATTTTGTGAGAAAGTGTGGCGTGAAAGAGCAAAACACACTATTTTTGAAATCAGTGCTCCAAAATTAATATGAAGCAAGCATTTCATTCAACAAATGTGCTGCAGGACGCTGTGATCAGTTACAGAAAATATTATCCATGTAAACCTCTGAATCTGACTAGTTTCTCAGAAGAATCCTGTGCGCATGCACAGCTTATTATTTACAGTATTTATTTATGTCTAAAAAAGCTTTTCTGAAATTGAGTTAGTTGCTTTTATTGTCCTCAAGTGGAAATTTGTCTTTGGCTACAGCATAAACATTTGCATTATACTTTACTCTAAATTATAAAGCGGAGAGTTCCGGTGCTTGATTCTGATTGGCTGAGCCGCGTTCGAAGCTGTTGTAAATGACTCTACAAAGTAACATACACCTTTGTTTACGTTTGTGTGTTGCTCGGCAACCACTTTGTAGCAACCACAACTGTTTCTGAGGAGCTACATTGTTTGGTGGAAGAATACTGTTTTTATTAATATCATTACACTTTATTTGCTCTGTTTTATTTTGTGAAACCTTACTACGTATATGGAGTAACCGTTTTATAAAAGCAATAAGCCCCGTGAAGCCGTGGTTTACAGTGAATTTATAACAGCTTCACGTCGTACCTAACAACACCCCTTAGCTGTTATAAACTCACTGTAAATCACGGCTTCACAGGGCTTATGGCTTTATTAGATATTAGGGTAACTGGCTCAGATTGATAGGGTTTGATCATGTAAACACACCTCGTGTGTGAGCGTCAGATTCTGATGTGTGTTTGTGGATCAGGACGAGGCCAATAAGAATGGAGGGAAGTGGATCATCCGGCTGAGGAAGGGTCTGGCGTCTCGTTTCTGGGAGAACATCATCCTGGCCATGCTGGGTGAGCAGTTCATGGTGGGCGAGGAGATCTGCGGGGTCGTGGTGTCCATCCGCTTCCAGGTGCGGATCAGAAACCATCATCCTGTCACGAGTTACTGTGTGTGTGAGTCTGACACGAGTGTGTGTCCGCAGGAGGATATTCTGTCCATCTGGAATAAAACAGCCAGTGACCAGGTGACCACGTCACGGATACGGGACACGCTGCGGCGCGTGCTCAACCTGCCACCAAACACCATCATGGAGTACAAGACACACAACGACAGTCTCAAGTACGTTTGATTCCTCTCACAGACTCTCAGTTCTGATCTCAGTGCGTATGGATTCAGTTCAGCTCTTCTGAACTTCTCAACTATACAGGGAACCCACCACTGAATAAGTCACCATCATCTCTTGATACATTACTGTAATATTAAAGCTTAAAATTAACAACTATTAAATTCAACTGCTCTGTTTTCAGATATAATAATCAACACTCAGATATCAGCCTTCTAATGTTATAACTATGTTCCTACTTATTTTATTCCAATATACATTAGTTACGACAAGTGAAAATATCATGAATAGATAATATAGAGCAAATATTTATCAGAATGTCTCGGAAGTTATTTTTTCTTGCTTACTAACGTGTTTTGAACATTGAGTGACTTGGTTGAGGTTTACTGTACATGTTCAAGCTGTTTTGTTGACAGAATGGGTTTAAGTAATGTTTAGTGAAGTTTCATTTAAACAGATCTGGAGCGTCTCTGATCCTCGTGTGCTTCTGGTTTTTCAGGGATAATTCCAGCTTCCGGAACACGAAGATCGCTTTGTGAAAACCTGGAAATAATTTTCATATGGACACTTTCCCTTTTACAGCACGAGCAGCGTGTGTTTGTGTGTGTGTGTGTGTGTGTGTGTGTGTGTGTATACATACATTCCTTCAGTTTCCTTGAGTGTTTTATTCCTCAGTAACAGGTTACATCAGATTCAGTGTGTGTGTGTTCGAAATAAGAACATGATTAAAGACATTCTCTGCAGTTTAGTTAAATTCCTGTTTATTTGTATGTTTTTACAATACAATACAATATCAAAGCAGGGTCAGACATTAACTTTTCCATTAAGGGGTAATTTTTAGCGCCACTTTAATAATTGTATGTGTTGTCTTTAATGTCAAATACTTGAATTTAACCAATTAACTGTTGCCAATAACAACAGATTGTTTAAAATTGTAACGTTCAAACATTTGGGATCAGTAAGATTTTTATTACTTTTTAAAGAATCCTCTTCTGCTCATCAAAGCTGCATTCATTTGATCAGAAATTTAGAAAAAAAATGTAAAATTGTGAAATGTTATTAGACTTTCAAACAGCTGTTTTCTATGTGAATATCAGTTAAACTGTAATGTATTTCTGTGATGCGCAGCTGTATTTTCAGCATCATTACTCCAGTCTTCAGTGTCACATGATCTTCAGAAATCATTCTAATATGCTGATTTATTATCAGTGTTGGAAATATTTTTTTGGAACTTGTGATATTTTTTTCAGGTTCTTTGATGAATAAAAAGTTCAAAAGAACAGCATTTATTCAGAATAGCAAACGAATAACTGCTCAGACTGCCTAAACAGGCTAGAGCGCTCCAGGTATACTCTCAGAGCCCTCACTGGGCAGAGCATGTTTGGCACCTGCTCACCATCTGTAACGGGGAGCGCCAATAGGGAGATCACCTGAGCTCTGAATGGAGTTGAGAGCACTTTAGGAACATAACCATGTCTCGGTTTTAGGACGACCTTGCAGTCATTAGGCCCAAACTCAAGACATGAGGCGCTGATCGACAGCGCCTGCAAGTCGCCCACTCGCTTAACCGACGCCAAAGCCAGGAGGAGGGCCGTTTTAAGCGATGAGGGCCGTAAATCGGCCGAGTTGAGGGGCTCAAAGGGGGGCCCTTTTAGGACCCGCAGGATTATAGACAAGTCCCAAGACGGCACAATCTGAGGGCGAGGAGGATTCAGCCTCCGCACACCCTTCAGGAACTTAACGATCAGGTCGTTCCTGCCGATTGAAAGGCCAGCTTCGAGAGAATGATTCGCTGTGATAGCTGCCACATATACTTTGAGCATGGAGGGGGTGCGCCCCTTATCTAGCAGCTCTTGCAAAAAGGTCAGCACATGGGACACGTCACATGATATCGGGTCCAAACCCCGTGCAGAACACCAGATAAGGAAGACTGACCATTTTTGGCTGTAAAGCTGTCTTGTAGACAGCGCTCTTGCCTCCAAAATGGTATTGCTCACTCTCGCTGGGAGCTGATTAAGCTCCCGTCGAGGCACCATACATGAAAGCTCCACAGCTCCGACCGGGGATGCCAAATCATGCCTTTCGCCTGTGAGAGAAGGTTCCTCCTCAGCGGAATGGGCCACGGGGCTGCTGCTGAGAGCTGCACTAGCTCTGGGAACCAGGCCTGGTTCCTCCAGAGCGGGGCCACTAGGAGGAGAGAGCACTTGGTCTCCCTGACCCACCTGACGACCTGAGGAATCAGGGCGATCGGGGGAAAGGCGTATAGGCGAGTCGTGGGCCAGAGCATCTCGCTGTATCGAAAAATATGTTGGGGAGTGAGAGTTGTCTTCTGAGGCAAAGAGGTCGACCTCTGCCCTCCCGAAGACTGACCAGATCTCTTGAACTGTTTGAGGGTGTAGCGCCCATTCGCCCGGGGCTACCTTGCCTCTGGACAGCATGTCTGCGCCAAGGTTTAATCTGCCCGGCACATGAACCGCCCTTAGCGAGAGGCGACGAGCCATCCTGCAAAGAGTGTGCGACCTGAGACCGCCTAGGTGATTGATATAAGCCACCACCATTATGCTGTCCGACCGGACCAAGATGTAATGCCCTTTCAAGGCTGGAAGGAAGGTTTTCAGGGCTTAGAAAACTGCGAACATTTCAAGGCAGTTGATATGCAGGCGTTGCTCCAGGGCTGACCAGGAGCCGAACGCCGGATTTCCCTCCAGCAGGGCACCCCAACCTGAGTTGGAAACGTCCGTTGTGACTACCTTCCTTCTGGAGGTCATGCCTAACCTCATTCCTGTTTGGAACAGGTGAGAGGTCATCCAGGGGGCCACAGCCTTGACACAGCGGTGACAGCGGTGGACAGGAAGCTGCCCCGGGCGCCAGGCATGGGTCTAAAATCGTTCCCAGAAAGACCACTCGGACCACTCGCAACAACTGACTCTTGTGCGGGTTGATGATCAACCCAAGGCGCTCCAAGTGGCTGAGTAACGGCTCTCTGTGAGCAGCCAACTCCCGTTCTGTCCTGGCTAGAACCAGCCAATCGTCAAGGTAGTTTAGAACACGGATTCCCATCTGTCTCAGAGGGGAAAGAGCCGCATCTACGCACTCCATGAAAGTACGCGGGGCCAGAGACAGTCCAAACGGAAGGACTGTGTACTGATAGGCCACTCCCTCGAACACGAATCTCAAGAACGGTCTGTGATGGGGGGCTATGTGAATGTGAAAGTATGCATCTTTCAGATCCACAGTCAAAAACCAGTCCTCGGGGCAAATGTGTGCAGAGAATGATTCGCTGTGATAGCTGCCACATATACTTTGAGCATGGAGGGGGTGCGCCCCTTATCTAGCAGCTCTTGCAAAAAGGTCAGCACATGGGACACGTCACATGATATCGGGTCCAAACCCCGTGCAGAACACCAGATAAGGAAGACTGACCATTTTTGGCTGTAAAGCTGTCTTGTAGACAGCGCTCTTGCCTCCAAAATGGTATTGCTCACTCTCGCTGGGAGCTGATTAAGCTCCCGTCGAGGCACCATACATGAAAGCTCCACAGCTCCGACCGGGGATGCCAAATCATGCCTTTCGCCTGTGAGAGAAGGTTCCTCCTCAGCGGAATGGGCCACGGGGCTGCTGCTGAGAGCTGCACTAGCTCCGGGAACCAAGCCTGGTTCCTCCAGAGCGGGGCCACTAGGAGGAGAGAGCACTTGGTCTCCCTGACCCACCTGACGACCTGAGGAATCAGGGCGATCGGGGGAAAGGCGTATAGGCGAGTCGTGGGCCAGAGCATCTCGCTGTATCGAAAAATATGTTGGGGAGTGAGAGTTGTCTTCTGAGGCAAAGAGGTCGACCTCTGCCCTCCCGAAGACTGACCAGATCTCTTGAACTGTTTGAGGGTGTAGCGCCCATTCGCCCGGGGCTACCTTGCCTCTGGACAGCATGTCTGCGCCAAGGTTTAATCTGCCCGGCACATGAACCGCCCTTAGCGAGAGGCGACGAGCCATCCTGCAAAGAGTGTGCGACCTGAGACCGCCTAGGTGATTGATATAAGCCACCACCATTATGCTGTCCGACCGGACCAAGATGTAATGCCCTTTCAAGGCTGGAAGGAAGGTTTTCAGGGCTTAGAAAACTGCGAACATTTCAAGGCAGTTGATATGCAGGCGTTGCTCCAGGGCTGACCAGGAGCCGAACGCCGGATTTCCCTCCAGCAGGGCACCCCAACCTGAGTTGGAAACGTCCGTTGTGACTACCTTCCTTCTGGAGGTCATGCCTAACCTCATTCCTGTTTGGAACAGGTGAGAGGTCATCCAGGGGGCCACAGCCTTGACACAGCGGTGGTCTACCCTGACAGGAAGCTGCCCCGGGCGCCAGGCATGGGTCTAAAATCGTTCCCAGAAAGACCACTCGCAGCCTGGGTAACAACTGACTCTTGTGCGGGTTGATGATCAACCCAAGGCGCTCCAAGTGGCTGAGTAACGGCTCTCTGTGAGCAGCCAACTCCCGTTCTGTCCTGGCTAGAACCAGCCAATCGTCAAGGTAGTTTAGAACACGGATTCCCATCTGTCTCAGAGGGGAAAGAGCCGCATCTACGCACTCCATGAAAGTACGCGGGGCCAGAGACAGTCCAAACGGAAGGACTGTGTACTGATAGGCCACTCCCTCGAACACGAATCTCAAGAACGGTCTGTGATGGGGGGCTATGTGAATGTGAAAGTATGCATCTTTTAGATCCACAGTCAAAAACCAGTCCTCGGGGCAAATGTGCGCGAGGATCTGTTTTATAGTTAACATCTTGAACGACCGGCGCATGGGATGAGGAAGTAGCGGCTGAAAAAGCCTGACTCGCTGTTCACTGGGGGCACTATTTCCACAGCGCCTTTTGCAAGCAGCGTATGCACCTCCTGTCGGAGAACGAGTGCTTCGTTGTCCGGAACAGAAGTTTGGATGACGCCTCTGAAGCGAGGTGGCCTGCGAGCGTATTGGAGCGAGTAACCTCGTCGAATTGTTTTTAAAACCCAACCCGATCTCCCACCTGGAGAACCGCCATTGTTTGCAGCTCCGAACCGGCCTGGCCGGCCGCTGCATAAGCCCTGTTGGCGAGCGCCGAGGTGGTCCTGCAGGGCTTAGAGGGATGCGCTGCATGGGCCTTCAATGCGAGGGCAGATGGCGGGCACAGATGAGCAGCAACCGCTTCCTCCAGAGGGGGGAGCTTGCTGTATCCCTTGTCGTCAGCGCCATCAACGGTGGTGAGAGCTGCTGCTGTAGAGGGATTTGCCCGTACCGAGTAGGGGGCGCGCCACGTCTTGGTGAGCTCGTCAGATCCTCCACCGCCTTCGACAGGACACGGATGAGTTCGGCGTCCGGCTTCGGCCTCGGAGCTTGAGAGGGGGGAGGGACTTCGGGCTCAGATCCTCGTCGCTGAAGGAGAATGGTCTGTTGAATGGCGCTGCAAGCCGACTTATATACACGTCAGCTCCGCCCTTTCTGGCTGGCTAAAGCATAATTGGTTTGTGCAGCTACACAAACGTGAACAAATCAGGCTTCAGTACAGAGTAAAACAGGAGTTTTCCCCATACACAACGTGAAGTGAACATTCGAAAGGGAACTGTAAAATTGTGAAATATTATTATAATTTCAAATAACTGTTTTCTATGTGAATCTCTGTTAAACTGTAATGTATTTCTGTGATGCGCAGCTGTATTTTCAGCATCATTACTCCAGTCTTCAGTGTCACATGATCTTCAGAAATCATTCTAATATGCTGATTTATTATC